ACTGATTTCTGACTGGAGGGGGCTTTAAACCATCTAAACCAGCCCCCTGTGCACAGGGCGGCACCAAGGCTGTTAAAACATCCCCCCTGTGTCTGGTCGTCATGCTAAAAGGAAACATATTAGATGACATGAAAAACTCCCTTTTTATATTGAGGGGCTTTCCGTCATTTACAAGTTATTATCTCAGAGTGAATCTTTTACCTCCTATTATCTTTTGGGATTTGTTAATCCAAGACATGCTGAAAGGTGTCCTTTGTAACCTCTTTGTTTGTTAACACAGATTTTGAAGGCCATCATGCTGTTTCCCACCATTGAGCACATGGCTCAGACTCCTCAGGGGAAGGTCATGACCCCTTTGCTGTGTCACATGCGTTATGTGGCCTACCTGCCTCTCTTCCTGCTCTCTCTGCTGCCCGAGGGACTCAAAGCCAGCCTGATCAAACTGGTGTTCGGTGGCATTCACTCTCTGGACCACACTGTGCTCCAGCCTACTGTAGGTCTGCTCAATGGAGACTGCGCAGGTTGGTTGTGCTTTGTTCTTTTCTCCTGTGGTGCTTATAATGTTCTTTTTCTTGAGAAGGTGTATGCAGTATTGAATCAGCTCTATTAAAGCCAGGCTAGGGCAATGTTACCGTGCTAGCTATAACCTTTTATTTCCACACAGCTTGGATTCAGAAAACAGTAGGGATGCACAATAATTATCAGTACAATGATCAGCCGATAATGGGAAATTTATATTATTATGAATTATCTGGATAATTAAATTATTGGGCCGTAATGATAAGCTGTTGCTATGGTCAAAATCTCCTGATCGAGTTGATTTGAACAATTTTGGCTCAGCCCTTTAAAATAAAACCCTAGGCTTATATTTAATTCAGATTTCTTCCCCCATTGTAAACGTCCTTGTGGCTTTGGTTACATTTGGGTACATTTGTTCTTTCGCAAATTGCGTAAGCTCAGTAAATCCAGCAGAACACATAATCAATTTCTGTTAATGTCTCCTCCTATTATTATTTGTTTTTAGCACTGTAGAAAACACAAAAGAACAAATGTGGTAAATCATATTTATAGGTGATTTGAAATTAAACAGATACATCCTAGAGTGTCTATCACATCATTTGCAGTGTCAAACTTTTTATGATTGAGTAAGAGGATGCATGTACATTAGTATGCAGTATTGACTCTAATGCAGACATCTTCAGTAACCAGGCAGCTGCTGCAGTGATCAAAGCAGCATTTAAACCAACAGATTAAATATTCCAAAGTGTTTTGTCACAAATAGGATTTGACTTTTTATTTACTCTTGAAAAGATATTTTTCAGATATTTCAAATATTTCTAGAATGTCTGAAATAAAGCAATAGTGTGATTTTGTTTCTCTTTGTAGCCAATGCAATGTACATGGGGGGTCAGGAAATGAGGAAAGTTCTGGAAAGAGACAATGTAACCATTAACAAGAATCTTGAAAAGGTAAGAAAAGGCCTGCCTGTAATCTGCACTGTGACATTTCTCTGTGCTTAAAGCTGCATAAACTCTCAGTCTAAGTCTAATTCCAATACAGACTTTGGGACACTGAGACTCAACTATCAACTATCTTCAGGCCACTACCTCAAAGCTTCTTTCCATCTTCCTCGCCTCTAAATTGGTTGTTTTCGTTCAGGCCCGGTGGATTTTTCCATTAGGAGCACTAGGAGGACCCAGAGGAACCAGATTGTTTCACAGATTATCTGTCTCATGTACTACTGTCAGGATGTGAAAGTTTCAGTGAATATGACAAAAAGTTGTTTTTATAAAAATGACCTACTGCAGCTTTAATAGCTACAAGTCAGTATCTGATAACAGAGAAAACACATGAGACATAAAGACAAAATGTTTGCTTTCTTTTAGCTGTTACTGTGTATTCAATCTTGTGTGTTCCCATTTTCAGCTTATATTTTACTATGGAGCTACAGACCACTGGTGCCCTGTTCAGTATTATCAAGACATCAAACGGGACTTCCCACATGGAGATGTAAGACTGTGTGAGAACGGATTCCGCCACGCCTTCGTCCTGGATGCAGGAAGAGATGTTGCCAAAATGGTGGTGGAATGGATCAATGGAGATCTGAGGACATGAGTTCTTCTCTTCCTGTCTACTCTTACATCTACTGTCTGACATGAACACTGATGATGAACAAGGCAGCCGGGGTTTTTTAATTAGCAGAAGTCAATTAAGAGTGAATATAATGCCGTACTTTGGTTCATAATAAGCACAATAAAAACCTAAATGTTACATGACAACTTATATAAAGTGGTTTTACCCATGTATAAGAAATTATACAAAATTGAGTCAGGCTAAAACAGATATTTTATGATTCTTAACAGTGTATGTATTATATTGTATAGATTCAGCCATTCGTCTCCAAAGATGAAATAGCATATCTAATGCTATTACCTGGCAGGTGTGATTATTTAACTTCTTTTATGTTGCCATTTTGCACTTATGCCAATTTTACTTTACATTCTTTTTCACATATACAGCAGTAAATCATGCATTCCCGTGTATGGTTTGAACAGCATAGGCAGTGTAGCAATTCATCTTACCTGCTTTTTATTTTTCATCTATTGTCAGAGCTGCCTGTGAGTGTAATGGAGTCGGATAGAGAGTTTAAACCTGGTGGAAACTGTCGGCATCCAAGCAAGCAGAGCAAGTGATGCTTATGTATGGTTCACAAAGCAAGACTCAAGAAATGATTAAGCTAATATCATTCCAAACTGGTTACTAGTGGACATGATAATGATCCTATAATAATGACCTTTAATGATTCACTGTACTAACTTTGTAAACACTTTGTTACTCCTTTGCAGATATTGTTACAACTAGTCTGCTGAACGAGTTATGACGAGGTTTAATAAATGAAAGACTTGATTGTGACCTGTAGGTGGCCTTCTTAAATGTGATGTAAATATTTTCCAAGTCAGAGTTTTCTCTATACCACAAAATATTCAATAATATAATAATGATAAACTTTATTTTTATAGCACCTTTAAAGCCCATTTAAAAGGTGCTTTACAATGAAATAGTACATTTAATAGGAAACATTTAAAACAAAAAGAGTAGAATGAACTTAAATGTCATAAAACAAATGAAATCAACATTAGCCCTTTTTAAAAAGTGGGTTTTTCATGACTTTCATGATTTTAATCATGACTAAATAAACAACAGATAAACATTCTGAGAACAACAACCCGCTGTAATACTGACACCGGCACCTGAGAGTACCTTTAACATGATCTCACTTTCGTAGAGCTCTGCATTAATTGAACATTTAGTTCAAACATGATCTGTGTGTTTTCATGTTTTGTTTGTTAACAATTTAACAACAATTTAAATATTTAATTAGTTGAATTAAAGATGAACATTTTCATGTTTCCTACTTTTTGCCAGTGTCAGTTTTTAATCCTTGACAATGAACATTTCTGAATTTGTATTTTATTTTCAACACAGGGGTTGATTTAATAGTTGTTAGTCAGAACCAGTGCACAAAAGATTAAAGTAATTCAACTGTTGACCCGGGATGTCAGAGGGGCAGGGCGGAAAAAAATGTAAAAGTGATTAAGTGCCTCCTAGGGTGCCTTACATGCTAGAAAATTAGTTTGGCGAAACTACTAAACCACACACACAGTTACTAAAACAAATGTTTATTCAAATTCTATAAAGACATACAAAAATATGACTATATGTTGAGTATATAAGTTAAGATTTACAAAATATTTTAAGATAAATATGACCTTTATAAGTGTAAAATATGATGCATTACACTGCCTTGACTCATGCATGGAAATGTTTCTATCTGAGGATAGTGACAAAGCAGCTCTGCTTTGAGGTATAAAATTAAGTGCTACTCTGTCAGCTGCACAAATCAATATTCTGTATTAACAATGTATAAAATGACTGTAATGTGAAACAAACAAATATTATCACACAGTTTCCTTAGGCTTTTTAGCTTTTTAAACTTTGCTAACTTCACCCCCATGACTGACTGACACCAAACACCAGACAAAATATTCTGGTGAAGAAATTTGAACATTAAGTAGCAAAAGTGCCTTTACTTTTCTCAAGAGTTGTTATAGACCAAACAGCTGAGAGGAGAGTCAATATTGGACACAAGTATGATGCCAACTTGATGTTCTGTCTGGGACAGTCAACTGCAGGATAACATGTTCACCAACCGTATGAGCTTATAATATGCCAGATGTTGTCTTTTCAGCTTGTTCTGCTGTTCCCAATTTGACAGTATAAAGTAATATAAAAAAATAAAAGGTTGCAGTGCGTAAGGCTGTGTTAAGCTGTGGTGGGGAGTACAAGGTATGATGGGGGGAAGAAAAAGGAGTGGCCCTGCAGTGAAAAGTTGAAAAACATTCCACTTTTTAGAAACGCAACCTGATGTCATGCTGCAGTGGCAGAGAGAGCAGTGGTGGTCAAGTAAACTAGAGAGTGAATGAAGAGAGGGAGCTGGGGAAGCAAGAAAGCCAGTTAATCAAAGAAATAAAATGATAGTGCCAACACCTGATTTGGTATAATTTGATCTTAGTTCAGTCAAAGTAAGGGTAAGAGTAGTCAATTATTAAATGAATGTTGAAAGGACATTCACATGTGTTTGTTCAACCGGCGTTCTCTGTGCTACCGGCATCCACAGCTCTCCACCACCATGTCCTCATACTGCTTATAGACCACATTGTTTCCCGAGTCAATGTAGAGGATGCTGATGGGACTGAGCTTGGAGGGGACGCAGCAGCTAGGCGGACTGATATCTGGGTCCATGGAGTTCAAAAGAGTCTGGATGACGGCGTGGTTGGTGGGCTCCAGGTGGGAGCGCAGGGGGAAGCCACAAACCCCATCGCAGTGGTGCGCCTCGTAATCCAGTGGGGCAATGATCCAGTCGTCCCAGCCCAGACCTTTAAAGTTCACATGGAGGGGTTTACGGCTGCAGCGGGTCCTCCTGTGTCCAGTTTTCCCTCCGGTACCTCCCCCTGTCCCACCAAATGAGCGTTTGGACAAGGCTCTTTGGCGATGCCTCCGGTGCATCTTTTCATCTTTTGGAATAGGTTTGAGAGGCTTAAAGAGATGAAATCCACCTCCCTCATTCTTCATCTTCTCCATCATCTCTTTGAACAGATTGTCGTTGGGGCCAGCGTGCGAGAAAGCCACCAGCAAAGCTCTCTCCTGTGGCAGCCGAGCATGGCGACCCAGCCCCAGGAGCAGCGGGTCAGCCGCCTCATGGGTCAGCTCAGACAGGGCCAGGAGGTGGAAGCAGGCCTGCGTTGGTTCTGTGGGATTCCTCTGACGAGCCTTCATGCTGGACCAGACATCAAACACCTCCCATCTGGGCAGACCGCCATCCAGAACCTCTACAGTTCTGGAGTCCAGGAGCTGTCGATCAGACGTGCCCTCGGGAGAGCAAGAGTACAGACGGATGTTGTAAAGGTTTCCTCCGGTTGTTAGGACAGACAGGAGGTCTACCACAGGCTTCCTCAGGATTCTGAGCTCCGCCTCCACCAGCTCATCCATCCTGGGCAGGCTGGACAGGTCAAAGATGTAACGCTGACCGCTCTCCCAAGATGGAAGATCTGTTGATGAAGAGGGAAGTACAGAGATCAGGGCCATACAGATTTTAGAATTAAATTTTTCCCCAAAGACACCCCAAAAATCTATAAATTATATTTCTTTTTTTATTTATTCATTGATTTGATCAATCTGATGGTCTGAATCTCATTTTGAAACCATGCAACCCCTCCATTGTGACTTTTTTGTCAGTAGTGCTGGGCAGTATGACCAACAATTTGTATCACAGTATTTTTTAAGATTCTGGCGGTTTCATGGTATATAACGTTATTTTTATTTGTGTATTTAATTTGTAAGTTTGTTTGTAATTATTTGTAAGTATACAGAAACAAATGAGTTATAGCAGTTGTTTCAGCTCTTCATCAGTATGGTGGAATATGAAAATATCATATATCATATCATATGGGGAATTAAAACCGGTATACTGGTTCAGGGCTATAATATCATTAGTTTTGCCAAAACTGTAGCATGTATTTAATGTGGTAATTCTGCAATTTATTGATATTATTTAAAAAAAAATGTATGTACTAAAACATTATCAAAATGTATAATAAGACATGAAAATTAACAAATCTTTGCAACACCCGCTTTGGGAACCCGTGGCTTCTGTATTTTCAGAGCTATATTAGAGTCTGCATTTGACTTTTTCAGACCATCTGATAACTTGTGTCCACAGTGTGCCAACCTATCTAATGTAACGGATATTACTGTTTGTCAGTGTTGGAAATAGCCACAATCAGAAGGAACAGTCTGGTCCTAAATGCTCACTTCACGTTTATACTGCACCCACATGCATTTGCAGATGTTTATGTGATATTTACCTTAAACACAGGATGCTTAGCCAACTCCCCACATACACAGGGGAACCACTGTTTGGTTTTGTTCTGTTTTACTTTTTATTTTTTGTACATAAAAAAACTTTTCATTGGATCTATAATCTTTGTTGTGTGTTAATAATGAATACACTCTATAGTTTATAGAGTAATTTATTTTTTTGTATTGTTTGAATATTGTTTTATGTCTAGAAAATAAAATAATTCAAATCAAATTTGTGATTTTTAAATGAAAAAAATATATATTCTAGCTGTAATTATTAACAATATAACTTTCTTAGCATTACTCCACCTTTACTCACATCAATTATTAGAGAAACAAAACCAGCAGCTTCCTTTTAAAATCGAAAACAAAGATTGAAGAAAAGAATTTCAGTTGTCCTCGAACCTTTTCCCTGGTCCACAAAACTTGTCACCGTGTTTGCAAACCCCGCACCGCGTGAAACGTTCATGTCTCTGCGCTGAAGTTTGGACAGTGTTCGGTATAGAAACACCATGTAGTCGTGGAGAACCACCGTGTCGTTCACCGGCCGGTCTCTCCTCCCCAAGCTGGGGTCGGTGCGCCGCAGAGAGCCGGAGCGCAGGGCTCCGGTCCGGGTCCACTCCATCCCCACACAGAGAGCCACCCAGAGCAGGGACAGCACAGCCCGATCCATCTGATGAGGACAGCTGGAGGGAAATAAAGAGGATGGAGAGACAGAAAACCCCCTCGACTCTTTATTCGTTGGATGACATCACCCTTTCATCTCATTTACTTCTTCTGTACCTGTGCAGGTGTGCGCGTGTGCAGGTGTGCGCGTGTGCGGGTGCACAGCGCCCCCCGCCAGAGAGACACATTGTAGTGGGAGTCAGACTGTGTGGTCCTCTGTCACTTTCATCCCAATAATACTCATTTAGGAGTTGAATAGAAATTAACATTCCAATGCAATTTAGCCCACAGGGCAACTACTTCACAGGTTTCCACGGAAAGAAATGAAGAAAAAGAAAGAAAAGAAAAAAGCTCGTCATCATTATTATAATGGATGGAGCTGTGAGTCAGCAGAATGCTGCGCGGAGAAGTTGCGCGTAATTACGCAGGAAAACTGTATGAAAAAATGTATAAATGTTCCTTTCACTGTGCTCTCAAGCTTTTAAACTACACATACCACAAAAAGAACAACGGACCAGTTATACAGTTATTGTTCTTATTACAACATGTGTTCACACTGTAAAGCCAGATAAGTTCATTTAACTCAAAACATTGCTTAGTAAAAAGTAAAACTAACTCAATTTAGTATTTTTATTTGTATTGTCAAATACCTAGTCAAAATGACTAAGTAAGAATGTTTTTTAACTTTCCAAAAAAAAATAAAAAAAAATTCAACAATTTTAAACGTTAAAATAACTTACTTACTTACTTACTACGGAGCCCCTAAAGGGACATGGGAACAAAAGCACAGGCAGTTGTGCTTCCTTTGTGTATGCCTCTAGGCTCATTAACTGCGGTCAAGCCAGCCCTTATTAGAGTGGCTATTGTCCGGCTTTAGGCCGACAGTCCGGCCTCCTTTTGAGAAAATAACAAAAAAGGTCCACCTTCTTGACACGATTACCTTGTTAGTTTAATAGTGTAATTGGCTAAAAATGTGTGTCAAATAAGTAACTTCATTGGTTACATTTTCGCGTGCGACCCATCAACACATGGCTAATTTAAAATATTAAAATGAGCCATGTGTTGATTCGCCACAACACGCGCTCAGGCTGTCAATCAAACTCTCAGCTACAGAGAACGTAACGTTAGCTCACGTCGGTTGTTGGTTGGTCAAATATATGAAAATATGCAATGTGGAGGTTTAAATATGGACTTTTATAATTGAATTTCTCCTAATTGGTGCAGTAAAAATGCTTGATATTAGTTGTGCGTGTAGTCTTCTATGTGTAGAAGTCAAATATACCATCCATAGCCAGGAATTATTGAGCAAATTGTTTTTACAGTAGGTCAAATATATGAAAATGTGCTATCTGGAGGTATAAATATTGGACTTTTATAGTTGAATTTCTCCAAATTGGTGCAGTAAAAATGCTTGATATTAAGTACACTTGTAGCCTTATGTGTGTAGAAGGCAAATATACCATCCATAGCCAGGAATTATTGAGCAAAGTGTTTTTACAGTAGGTCAAATATATGAAAATATGCAATCTGGAGGTATAAATATGGACTTTTATAGTTGAATTTCTCCAAATTGGTGCAGTAAAAATGCTTGATATTAAGTGTGTGTGTAGTCTTCTATGTGTAGAAGGAAAATATACCATCCATAGCCAGGAATTATTGAGCACTTTAATACAACATATTTTATTTTAAATGTAGTTTCGAATTATAGCTTTACTGTTTTCTAATACCTTTATTTTGAAAACCGGAAGTGAATACGCTGTTTCTCCCGCATTTACCATAATGCTGAGAATACTTGTACACTCGAAATTTAAGTGCGGCTGATTTGACCACGGAGATCGGAGTCACGGCTAGCTTGACCGCAGTGTGTCCTCCCGCGATAAACAGCCTCTAACCCTAACCCTAACCCTCACAGTCTAAACTGGAAGCTTGGAAGTTGAATATTACATTTCCACTGGGTCTTATTTTGAGAGTAAAACTGTATAAATTCAGAGACTCTTAAAATCAAGTCAACTCCAGATGCACCAAATGTGATTTGATTTGATTTGATTCATCTTATTGTCATTGTAAGTACAGTTCCAAACAACGAAATGCAGTTAGCATCAACCAGAAGTGCAAACTAGTAAAGTGCAAAGTATTTTACAAATATACAGAAATATGTAAAGAAAAGTAACAATAACATCATAGATATATGAATGAATAATTAACATTATGAACAGTATTTACAGAATAGATATAAAATGTTCTTCTCCATCCAAATCTGCTCGTACTGTTTAGCAAAGGTAACGTCCAAAACACTATATAAGGTTATAAAAGATGGTGTGCCGTGTGCAAATATTCAGGCCACCAAAAAGGTGATAGAAAATACAAGTGATATATATATATATATATATATATAATAGAAAAATATCAATAGAAAAATGGAGCAATAGTGTTTCTTTAGAAAACTAATTTAATAATCCAACCATTATAATTACTCTAAAACATAATCTGATCTGACTATATTTTATCTATGCTTTTTTAAACAAAATTAGAACAAATAATGGATACAAACAAAAATAAGAGAAGATTTGTTCATATATTGCTGTTTGCATGAGCCCAAATATTGCTGTCCCACACATTGTACGGGATTGGAAAAAAAATAACATACACGTATCAGCACAGATCTTAACTAAAAAACCGGAAGGCTGAAACAATAAGCTAATATAGTAATAATGTCCCAATTCTTGAGGTGGTGCCAACTCTACAAGTATAGTGAGTCGGTATTACGATTTATTGCAATTTGTGTTTGCTTTTTCAACAAAAAAGAATCATACACTTCTAGAGACTGTATATCATGAGTCATATTTACAAAAAACAATGCAGCGGTGTGTTATGCATATTCATTCTTGATTCATTCAGATTTGAAGAAATTCCTTGAAATTCTTTTCCTTGAGGTATTGCATTAACGAGAATGGACACACAGACAATCTGAAAACCTAATGCCTCCATCTTCGGCTGTCGCCAGCACAGAGGCATGAAAAGTAATGCGAGACATATTGATTCACTGATCATCACAATACACAGTTTATTGTTCTGGCTTCAGCATAATTCCAGCTCTTTGGAGACGCATGGATCCAGTTTGCAGAGAGCAGTAATCAGGGCTGAGCTGGATATATTTCCCTTTCTTCGCACCATGTCAATCAGGTCTCGTGCCTTTTCTGTTCCGACTTTTGTTCTGACTGACTGCATTTCATGATCGGTTATAATGACACGTTCAAAAAGTTCATCCAGAAGCTGGTGCAGAACTGGTTCAGAGACTCTGTTTATAAAATTTGTGCGGACTGAGCGGAGCCTCTCCTCTGCTGGGACATTGCTCTGTAGAGCTCCTCTTCTTGGACCTGGAAGATAACCAGGGAAAAGAGTTTTGTTTAAAAACCAACAATCACCTAAACAGAGATCTCTTAGAAATTAGTTTTATTGTTTGTGTTTAATGTTTTTGCCTGTTCCAGCAGATAAATCTGCTCTGTAACACTTATCCAGTGTTGTCCTTTGCATATTTTTTGGTCCCATGATGGGAACCAAGATAGGAATCTCTTTATGTATTTATATATAGATGGAGAACTTGTTTCCTTACAGCCAGTCAAATCTGGCATGAAGCCCTAGTGTGAGAGTTTGATCATTGATAGCACACTGAGCCAGACAGCAGCTACACAACACAAAGGCCACAGACTCTGAACAAGAGTCTCTTCCCTCAAGGAAGATGTGGTGATCTTTTGCCGTTAACGCAAATTCAACCTATGAATTCTGCGCAATCTTACAATTTTGTCCGAAAACTGCACAAAACTTAGAACCATACGTCCCCAAACAACTAGCAACTGTAATTCATTAGAATTTTAATGAATTGAAATCCCACTAAAAACACGCTGTCTGCCTATGACAGGCTACGGTGCAAGTGTGGTTACTTTTTCTCCATCTCTTAAGAGCCACACATACATCTGCACATTGTGTTCTATTCATTATGTTGTAGTCTATAACTGGGATCTAAGCTCTGACAGGTAGAGTGCTGCTGCAGGAGGGTGAAGCCTTTACCTGTCTGTTTCTGTCCTGGATTTGTCCAGACTTTCAGCTCTTGGTCCTGGGCCGTCAGAGTCACTCTGTCTTGGTCCACTGTCACGCTAACATATGTTGCTTTATACTTTGAGCAACAAGATGCACACTGAAAACAGACAGTAACGCGTCATTTTCAGACCTGTTGTAAATATGTCATCCTAATTGTGTTTTCAACATGCACACTAAATTGTGATCATGATAATTTATAAGCTTTAGAGAAGTGTCTTGACTCACCTCAGGCTGCGTTGTAAAGCCCTGGGTTTCACAGAGGGCACTGTTACTTGGACCGAGGCTCTGATGACAATCGGAAGAGATCCTGATGTGCTCAGCCTCTCCTTGTTGGGTGGGACCTGTGAGGTCGATCCTGTAGGGGTAAACACAAAAAAGTTATGGATCAAATTTCAAAGCATTGGTGGTGAAAGCAAAATAATCTGTCCACACACTATCAAATTCTCTATTTTCCTCTGAGACTTTTCCTTTTTTGGATTTGGAATCCATCGCGAGCCTAAATGGCCAGACTCCAAACCTAGTCCCCACCCGCTATGAGGTTTGCAAAAATATAGAAGTTTAGTCAGCAACTTCCTGGTCACACATATCGCATACATTAAACATCAAAATAAAATTCAAGGCCTGTTTTTATATTTCTTATTTTTGACTTTAGCATTAAAAAAAAGGTATGAAAAAATAATTGTTTTTTGTGCTGAATTCATAAATTAATAACAGAAAACACATTTTGTTCCATTTTTGAATTTTGAATAAAGGACATGATTTTACAACAGTGGAAATAAAGATGAAATGTACTGGCAGCTTCCATATGTTGTTACTGGGTTTGCATAGTGATGGTATTAATTAAATAGTATGGGATTATAGTGTCCAGGAAGCATGTATTAGGCTATGTATTAGTACCTACAAACTGCACGGTACACTGTGTTTCTTTACTGTCTAATAAGGAACATATTATTTCGAATATTATTTCTTGTAAGAGTAAAGCTGGAACTCAAGTGATACATCATTGAAGTAATACATTAATCTTCCTGTGTTTAGTACAATTCTGCTGAAACCAGCGTGGATCCTCTACTGACCTCAATATCTCCAGTCTACAGTGTGGACTGTTCACAAGATCCCTCAGCAGCTTCACTTCTGAATCCTGCATCTTGTTTCCACTCAGCTCCAGCACTCTCAGATGGGAAGGGTTGGACTTCAGAGCTGAGGCCAGAGAAGAACAGCTGATCTCTGACAAACTGCAGTGCCTCAATCTGAATAAAGAATAAATGATGAAGATAAAAATTTATAATCCAATCAGATGTGTTCAGGTTTTAAATGTGTAGATCAACATTACTATGTCCTAATCAATGAGCTTTTCTCTAAAATGAGTAGAGTGACTTTGTCATTGTGTTATTCATACACCTATTCATGTCAGCAGTCCAGTCTGTAATTAGAGAAATTTAAACAGCTGCATGAGGAAATGTTCTTAATTATCTAATAAATAAAAATTTAGCTTATATGTGACTCAGATCCGATATTTTCATGTGTGAACAACACAAATCACATGGAATCTGATATGGGCCACATTTTAGAAATAAT